AGGAAATTTGTAGTATAATGGAAGTATTTTAGTATCAGAAGGGGGTTTGTGGAGATTGTAGTAATATAAACAGTTGAGATCATGAGTCAATTGAAGCTAGACCACCATGGAAAACCTGGAAGCACTGGATGGCCGCTTCGTCCTATGGTGCGACTCCTCAGCAGTGTGCATCTACGATCTCACCCCTCGGCGAGATTTGAACCCAGGACTTATCAGTCTCGCGCCAGGCGCTCAACCAACTAGGCCACTGAGCTGACCGGCATCCAACGGTGTGAATGTCTAACTTCAACTAATCCACGAAATTGAGCGACACATCCACCAATGTCATCATTGAGTTACTATCTCACAACACACCCGGTTGAACTCCACTGGTCACTTCTCACTAGAACTCCAGGATATACGTCTTGAAGCCAGTCACAACAACCGTTTTGTATTCTTTCCTTGTATTCTTATTTAAAATTGCTTCGATTGTCTTTTCTGTTCTTAGCAATGGTGTAAATGTAAATAAATCTTTTAATGTAGTTACACTGATCGAAAAATAGAAAGATCTATCCTCGATTCTAAAAAAAACTTATGGCTGATTGATATTAGAATAAACGAATTCAAAGATTTCATAAATGTGAATCGAAATATTTTGAGTTAATTAATCGACAATCAAACATTAATTTTATTAGATTTGTTAAATCTATGGCAATCAAACATCTCATACTGGATCTAAGTTGAAATAAACAAAATGAAATCACTGTTTACTAAATAACAACTTACTTATATACATATCTAATCATCGCAGAGGAGCATAAGCTGCTCACCAGCATTCTCCATCCAATCCTGTCCTGTGCAACCCTTTCTACTTGTTTCCGGTTGCTATTCATTCTTTTCATGTCTACTTCCAATTCCCAACATAGTGAGTTCTTTGGTCTTCCTCTTTTACGTTTCCACTCAGGAATTAAAGTTAGCACTTGCCTCGTTATGAAGTATTTCCTATGCATACCATTCCATCAACGACGGAAGAAATTACGATGGCCATTAGACAAATCAAGAGAGGGAAAGCAATGGGATCTGACAACAAACCGGCCGAAGCACTGAAGTCAGACGTAGAAGTAACTGCAAACATGCTCCACATTCTATTCAGGAAGATTTGGATTGAGGAACAAGTATCAACAGACTAGAAAGAAGGATACTTCACCAAGATACCAAAGAAAGGAGATCTGAGAAAGTGTGGGGTCATTAGAGGCATCACACTACTATCGGTACCAGGAAACACTTTTTAACAGAGTATTGTTGAACCGAATAACAAATTGTGTAGATTTCTAACTCCGAGATCAATAGGCCACATTCCGTGATGACCGGTTGTGTACAGACCAAATCACGACACTACAAATCATCGTTGAACAATCAATTGAATGAAACTCGATACTATACATAAGCTTCATTGAATATAAGAAAGTATTTAACAGTCGTAAGTATGTAAGTAACAATGTTGAACTTGTTTGTTTCAAATAAACTTAGCACGCTGTCGAGAATCAATAATACATATTTTTTTATAGTTGGATCCATGAGTTAATTGAAGCTAGACCACCATGGAAAACCTGGAAACAACGGACGGCCGTTTCGTTCTAGTATGGGAATTCTAAGCAGTTCACATCTACGATCTCGCCCCACGAGATTCCAACTCAGGACCTATCAGTCTCGTACACAAGCGCTTAACCTCTAGACCACTGATCTAGCCGGCATCCAATGGTGTTAATGTCTAACTTCAACCAATCTACGAAATTAAGTCACCATCCACGATTGTCTTCAGTGAGTTACTCTCATAAAAAACTTGGTTGAACTATAATATTACTTAATTCTCCACAAAACCTCTTCTGATAATAATAATAAACATATATTTTTATTATAATCGAATGAGTAGAAAAAATTATATTTCTGACGTTTCATGACTTCATGTAAGCCAATACTTTAGAGAAAATTATTAACTGAAATTCAATTAACACAAGTTTAAATAGTACAAAGGAAACAATGTAGAATATCTTGATTGTACTAATAAAAATAGATTCTGCATTTTGTTTTTCAAGATGGTGGCGAAGATTTGTAATTCAGATAAATGATTTTGATAGAATGTGTTTTGTGGAGTTTTAGAAATTTCACAGATTGAAATCATGAGTCAATTGAAGCCAGACCACCATGAAAAACCTGGAAGCACTGGACGGCCGTTTCGTCCTAGTATGAGACTCCCCAGCAGTGCGCATCCACGATCCCGCACCACGCGGGGCTCGAACCCAGGATGCGCACTGCTGAGGAGTCTCATACTAGGACGAAACGGCCGTCTAGTGCTTCCAGGTTTTTCATGGTGGTCTAGCTTCAATTGACTCATGATTTCAACCTGTGAGAGTTTGAGAGTTTTATTCTCTGAGTTGGATGGTTTTTCCTTTTAATAACTTGTATAAATTGAATTTCGGTCAATAAATTTCTCTGAAGAATTAGCTTATATTAAGTCATGAAACATCAGCAATATAGTTCTTTTTCCTACTCATTGGGATATAACAAAAATATATGTTTATTATCAATTTCGTTTTATTATTATTACTTAGTGATTATTTAAATGCAATGAAGTAAACTTCATATGATGTGACTATTTTGTTCTATTCTGATAAGGTAAATATTAGACTTTTAAAGATTTATGAGTTCCATGTTAGGATGAAACGACAATTCAGTGCTTCCAGGTTTTTCATGGTGATGGTCTAGTTTGAATTGACTCATGAATTCAATTATTAAATTTATGATAGAATTACTGTTAGATATCGTTTATTAGTATATTTAATACAATAATGCACACTACTGAGGAGTCCCACAATAGGACGAAATGACCATCCAGTACTTCCAGATTTTCCATGGTAGTGGTCTAGCTTCAATTGATTCATGATCTCAACCATTGAATTTACAAAAATAAATGTTCAAACTTAATGATAGACTACTTTTCAATGTAGAGTTAGGAAGATATCTCACCGTAAGTGAATTTATTTATTTAAACTATTTGATATGAACTTAATGCCTAATAAGTATGGTACTTATCATAAAACTGAGAGACATTAGTTATGATTTTATATGGAGTTAAGAAAACATAATACTGAAAAGCTTTAGACTAGAATGAATTGGCTTTTTAATACTTTTTAGTTTTCAAATCTCACTTCTTTTCTAAGACAATTAAATTATTTACAATCTTTATGAATTATAGATTTAAGATATTAGTACAACCGAACTTTAAGGATAATCCGAACTCCGTAGAATCAAACTTTAGTGGCCCGGGATCTGACCCCAATGAGATGGTTTCTGATTCGGAATGGATTTCCCAATACATATATTTTGTACAATCGTTGATTGGAATAGATAATCAGAGAGACGCAGCGAAAGAGGCGAAGAAAAGTGAGCGAAACGACACAGTAGAGAAGGCATGTAAGCCAACTCCAGTTTAATCAAGCGGTAATTAATATTTATAATTACACAAAAATGTATGCTACAGACATGTGATGAATAGGATAAGAAGCGTACACACAATATGCTCATATAAAAACAGTCAAGATTGAGATAAGTGAATAATTAACAAGGTCAAAATGTGACTCAAGTAGAATGAATAGATTGACCTGTCCAAAAGCTAGAATAAAGTATATGGGTCTAACGTAATAAACGACACTACAAAACTGTTATCAGTCTCAGTTATAGATTTGAGTGTCGTATTTTGTTTTTCATTATTGATAAAAGACAAATTTACTATAAGCCATTAGTATACCAGGTGTTGATAATTGGGATTCAACAACTTTGTAACTATCAGTTTAGGGGTTATGGAAATCGTTAAGTTTTTGATTGAGATCATGAACCGATTGATGTTAGACCATCATAGATTGGTTGGGGTTAGACATTGACACCGTTGGATGCTGGCCCAATGGTCTAGAGGTTAAACGTTCGCGCGGAAAACTGAAAACTCTAGGTTCGAATCCCGCGGGCGGGGTTGTGGATGCGCCCTGCTGAAGAGTCCCACAATAGGACTAGAAGGCCGTCCACTGCTTCCAGGTTTTCGATGTTGGTTTAACATCAATCAGTTCATGATCTTAATCAAAAACTTTGTAACGATTAATTTACGTGACTTAGTATCTCATTGCAACTTACTTGATACTATGTTGTTATAGCAAACCAGAACAATAATCACTCAATTTTACTATAAATAACAATAAAATATACACTATTGCTACAACTTACTAATTTGAAATCCAAGTCCAAATCTACTTGTTGAATACTTTCAAAATGTAGAATTATATTTATAAGTCAAATTATAGAAAACACAACAAATGCCCTAGTACGGCCGAGAGTGAGGAGAGTTCGCTCTCCCTCTAGAAATGCTCTCACATGGCCACGCGTATATAGCCTCTACCAAGGAAGTCCTACTCAGTACCTTCTCGTGGCATTACTGTTGTTTACGAAATTGAGAGGACGAAAAGCGAATATCCGGCGCTTTAAGCGGGTTGGTGGATATGGAGAGTCCACCTAGGGGATTCTGAAAACCCTCATTCCAAACCAATGGTTCACATTGGCTCCAGTATCCTGAAGGAAAAAATGACGTATGAAACAATCGTTGATCACCGGATACCATAGGAATACATCTCCTGACATTGCTCCAAAGACTTGTGGATCAGACCTTTAAGTTGAAGGCTTCGGATGTGACCCCACAGAAAACCATCTGCTTCGGTTAGGGCACCCAAGCAGTATCACAGCCCTCACACATATCAAATGAGATTTGTATGGCGCATCTATATTTGATGCCTCCTTGTACCAATATCTATGTGTTAAAGTAAATAAATAAACAATAACAACAAATAACTTCATTTTATAACCAATCAAAATTCATCTCTGTAATCCAATCAAAATAAAGTATTTTCTGGTATAAAAATGAATAAATCATCGATTTGATTTAATCTTATTATTATTATAATAATCAAAAGGAAATCAAAACTATGTCCGATACTACTGATAATAATGAAAATAGAAATATAGAAAATTCTGATAAAAATAATTTATATTCTATATGTCCATTATGTTATATTTTGATACAAGAGATTAGAAAATGTTATGAACATATCAATGAATCATTACCAATGGATCATCTTAATTTAAATAAAAATAAAACAATAAATAATATCATTGATTTCATTCAAGTGAACAAACAGAATTCAAAAAGATCACCATCATCGTCACCGTCGTCATCATTACCAACATCGCCAACATCACCGTCAACATCATTAAAACATGATCATATATCTGTTATAATATTAGATGAATTAAAACGTTTTTGTGAAAATACAACAATACGTGGTCTACCACGTATAGTTCGTGCACATAATCGTTATTTACGTTTATTATGGTTAATATTAGTATTTATATTAATATTAGGTTGTTTTATATGTATGCTATTTTTAACTAGACAATATTTAGAATATAATGTAATACATCCACCACGTGTATTACGTCATACAATTAGTCCATTTCCATCAGTAACTGTATGTAATTTTCGTCCAATTTCACCAGATGGATTAAAATATTTACAAATGAAAGGTTGGAAAACACCAAGACATTTTGTATTAGATTTAGCTACATATGCTCAATATATTTTTTATAATCAACATAAAATTGATGAATATAATGCAGCTAGTGCAGCATTTTCATTAGCTGGATTTTTAGAAAGTTTACCAAATAATGAAGAAAGAAGAAAACTTGGTTATCAACATGATAAATTAATAATTAAATGTCAAGTAAGTAAAATAACAATAATTTGTGCTTAAGTGAATTGTATAATTTCAACAGTTGAGATCATGAGTCGATTAAAGCTAGAACAACATGGAAAACCTATAAGCACTGGATGGCCGTTTCGTCCTATTGTGGGATTCCTAACCAGTGCACACCCAAGACCCCACCTCACGAGATTCCAACTCAGGACCTATCAGTGTCGCGCACGAGCGCTTAATTTCTAAACCACTGATCTAGCCGGCATCCAATGGTGTTAATGTCTAAATTCAAATAATCCACGAAACTGAACGACACATCCACCATTATGATCAGTGAGTTACTATCTCACAACTGACGCGATTGAACTCCACTGGTCACTACTTCTCACCAGAACTCCAGGAAATATCTCTTGAAGCCAGTCACTAGTGAGCATATGTTGATTAGTATCAGAAGGGGTTTTGTGGAGATTGTAGTAATTTCAACAGTTGAGAGAATGATCTCCACAAAACCCCTTCTGAATTGTATAAATTAATTTTATAATGTATTTTTGCATAAGGTCAAAATAGAAATTAATATAGAATAATGCGATTTTATCTTTGTATTTCATGATTTTTCATCAATTGTTTCGTAGATTGGTTAAAGTTGGATATGAACACCGTTGGATGTTGACCAGCTCACTGGTCTAGTGATTAAGCGCTCACGCACGAGACTGATAGGTCCTGGGTTAGAACCTCGCGAGGCGGGGTCGTGGATTCACGCTGCTGTCGAGTCCCACGATAGGAAAAAATGGCCATTCAGTGCTTCTAGGTTTTCCATGATAGTGGTTTAGCTTCAATTAACTCATAATCTCAACTACTGAAATTACTATAATCTCTACAAATCCACTTTTGATACTAATAATTAAATGTCAAGTGTGTAAAATTTATGCTTAGGCTAATCGTATATAAATTAATTTTATAATGTTTGCTATAAGGTCAAAATAGAAATGAAGGTGGAATAATCCGATTTCGTCATTTTATTTCATGGTTTTTCGTCAGTTGTTTACAACTGTTGGAATATATATATGTATATATATATACATATATGTATGGATAAGCAAGTGTGAGGTCATTTGATGATGGAAGTAAAACAAAAACAAACTAACATAAAAGGCTGAAACATTAATTATGTTGAGTCCGGAAATTGATAAAATGGATTGTGTTATAATTATAGGAGATTTGAGAAGTTTATGAAAGTTTCAGATTAATTGAAAATAAATTTAGAAGTCATAAAGAGATGAAGTGGTAATTAGCTAACATTCGGAATCAACGAAATGAATTAAGTAACACTATTTTTAAGTGGCCCCGCACTTGTTTATATATATATAACTATTATTATTATTATGCTCTATATCACCAGTACTGATTACTTATCTACTTACTTACTTACTTACTTACTTACTTTCTTACTTACTTACTTACTACCACCTGTTAACCCACGAACTACGTCTTCCAATCATAATTAAGTACCTGATTGCTAACCAACAATATTTGGAGTAATGGGTATTATAACCTATGGTAATCGATGCAAACCAAACAATATCGAAAAATATAAGGGAGTTCTAAATGTGAACCAATATATCACAACATAGTAGTATAAAGTTAACAAACTAGTAACCGGTCTGATATATAGAAGGGGAATTCGAAAGATGAATATTGTTCAGTAGTCTTATATTATTACAGTCTTATAGAAAGAAACTGTTATCTAGTGTTCCACACTCTCAATCACCAGTTATTAAGGATAATTCTGTGTTGAACACGATTCTCAAATTTACTCATTTTCGAAAAATCTTTTATTCCAAATTACTTACTCAATTACTTTCTTAAACTTGTTACTCCTCATGGCGGAGCATAGGTCTCCCACAAACAACCTCTATCTAATTCTGTCCTGCATAATCCTTTCCACTTGTTTCTAGTCAATATTCATCCTTTTCGTATCTGCTACCAATTCCCGACACACTGTATTCGTTAGTCTTTCTATTCTCCGTTTCCATTCAACATTTCAAGTTAGCTCTTGTATCGCGATACAGTTTCATGATTTCCGTAATGTTCTGTCATGTTCTATCCACTTCCAACTTCTTCTCATTTCCTCGTCAGTCGCAATCAATATTGATTACTTTATATTATATCATATCTTATTGTTACACTTTATGATGAATATGATTGTAAGTGACTGACGAGATACCATAAATCAAAATGTATTTATATTATTCTGACTCACTTATTGTTTTATAGCTTTATTCAAATTCGTATTGGGAATCAATTGTATGAAACATGGTTTGTATTTATAAAATGTTGTTTAGTGGGTCTTATAACTATCCTTATGGTTATTCACATGGATTCCCTTAAAGAATAACTTGAAAACAATAAAAATAATCAGTTAATTACGTTATATATATAAAAACGGATTGAGATCCATGGCGGTGAATGAAAAGTGAATGTTCATACTTCCTGAACAATAAATCGACAGTAATAATTCTCATAGTTTCAATGATTACATCCTTTTTTCAGCAAAACAAAAAGTAACGAATTTCAGTCCTCAACATCAACAATAGAAAGATTCAAATGCTTACAAATTAATGTAATAACACTATATGTTTATGTACCGGAGAACAGATAACAAACTAATGAATCAGGTAATAAATTCTTGTCAGTATGGGCATTTATAGAGATCGCAGTATTTTCAGGTTGAATTTACGAATTGATCTAAGTTAGACCACCAGTGAAAGCCTGATAGTACTAGACGGCAATTTCGTCCTAGTATGAGATCCCTCAGCGGTGTGTATTCAGGATCTTACAAGCGAGAATCAAACTTAGGCCCTTCATTCTCGCGCGTTAACGCTTAAACTCTAGACGACTGAACTGTTATTTATTGAAATGCAGTAAAATAAGTGTAATGTGTTTTTATCTCATTAATAAAATAATGTGAAAATATTACAGGTGTTACATATATTGATACAGGACATAAGTTTGAACTGTATGTCAAACAAGTAAAGAAAGTGGTTCGGCAGGAGAAATTTCTTTGAAGCCAGTCACTAGTGAGCATATGTTGATTAGTATTAGAAGGGGTTTTGTGGGCGGGATCGTGGATGCGCACTGCTGAGGAGTCCTACAATAGGACGAAACGGCCGTCCACTGCTTCCAGGTTTCCCATGGTAGTGGTCTATTTTCAACTGACTCATGATCTCAACTGTTGAAATAATAATAATAATAAGTCTGCACAAAAGTTAAGTGCAGAGATAGAACATATTTGGTTCAGATTTAATCTCATAGACAAATCAAATGTACTATTTCTCACTTTGTAAAGCAAACGAATAGATGCTTTGATAGATTTAGATGGATTCTATAAACAACCTTAAATATAAATCTGGGTTAATCAAGTAGACAATATAAGGTATATTTCGGATTGTAGAAAGTTGATGGCTCCTGTAAACACAAAATAACAAAGCATAGAAAACACCATTTCAATATAAACACACTTATAAAAGATTGGATAAGACATTACAGTCAACAAGATTGTGATGAATAAGACCACGAGTGGGGACAATCGAATATATTACAATTCGAAATTACAGAATATGTTACCAAAATCTGAAAACCATACAATAAATGATTAATTTGTAAAATGTCAATCATTTATCTCAAACTTGACTGTTTCCTTTACAAATATCAATTAATCATGTCAGTTTTCATTGTTACTGTATTTTCATACAAATTGCTTTCCGTTCCTGTTCTTTCAATTCTCGATCTTCTACTGAAGTACATTTTATTCCTGACTATTGTTATGTACTACTTATATGAATATAAGTAGCTTACACCCGTATATATATATATCTAAAGTAAAAGTCTGGAATATTAATCACCATAGTAACATAAAGATATAAAGCATAAACTAAGTGATTATATAAAAGTACTTAACATGTGTACATCTATTTAATTATGTAAATAGTTTTAGTTTAGACTTCGTCATTGAAAGAAGTTACTAATGAAATGAAAATGAATTTCAATAATTTAATTAAAATTATTCATTCGATTTTCATTAAGGCAATGAATAAATATGATTGAATGAAATCCAATGTTTATTATGAAAATTTAATTGAAATTAAACTGAAATTGTAAAAAGAAGTGTTGTAGAATGATATTTATTAGTATAGGGTTGTGGAGTTTTTCGATTGAGATCCTGAACTGATTGGTGTGCGATTCGAATCTCGCAATTGAGATTGTGAATGCGCACTGCTGAAGAGTCCCACAATGGGACAAAACGGCTGTCCAGTGCTTTCAGATTTTCAATGGTGATTTAACATCAAGCAGTTCATGATCTCAATCAAAAACTTTATAGTTTCTACAACTCTATACTGATAATTACCATGTGCTCACTAGTAAATAGCTTCGTGATTAAATTCTCGGAGTTCTAGCGAGAAGCTGTGATCAGTGTAGCTAATCCGTGTTAGGTAGAGACAGGTATCTACAATTGAAGATGGTCGCGCAATTTCATGGGTTGGTTGAGGTTAGACAATAATACCGTTGGATGCCGGACAGCTCGGTGGTTTAGAGTTTAAGCATTCTCGCGCAAGACTGGATGCCCTGGGTTCGAATCCCGCTGGAGGGATCGTGGATGCAAACTGCTGGGGATGGTATTTAATTTTCTAAAATATTAACCGGTTCAAGAAAATTCTAGAAAATTTACCCATAGTACTGTAGAACCTGACACAAGACTGAGAGTTAATGATTTTAAGAAATTCAAAAGTACCTTACAGTTAAATCAGTCTTAATAGGAAAGAATTCAGATTTCATTAAAATAAATGAAAAATGTAAATAAAATTTCACACAAGCAAAGATGGATTGTGCCTAATAGTGGAATCCAAGTTCACCATATTTGGGATTCGTCAGCTGGATATACCTGCATCTCAGAGTTAATGTTCACTCTGGGACTTGAACTCAGTTCCATTCACTGCGAAAGTCATCGAGTTATCCACTTAACTATTAAG